CAATTAAAAAAAAGTATATATTTTCACTTCTGTCCATAAACTTAAATTGTTTTAATATTTTCCCAAACCTAATTGAGCTTTCATTATTTGCTAAGAATGTTCCTGTCTCTGGATGATCATTTAAAAACCTTCTAGTTTGGCTAATAGGGCTAAGAGAATTGTGACAGACAAACAAGACTTACTATTGATCAGGTAGTTTGTACAGAAAACTGATTAATGATCCTCATCCACCTATCCACTGGGTGGCTTCAGCAGACCCAGAGTGAAGCGACATGTTGTCTATATCAGACCTACCAAATAAAAAGACTTCCTTAAAGATGTTGGAAGGTAAAAAGAAAAACTGTTATGGCTGAGGCTTTGTTTCGTTGCTGCCTCATTCCCGCCCCAACCTCTCCACATGCAATCTCGTCATGAGGACAGTTGGAGACTTGCCCTCCAACAATGAGGCGCTCCTGCTCTAACAGCCAAAGAAAAAGCAATTTAACCACACAGCCCCCCAGGAGAAGTCGCACATCAAAGCTGCAGCAGTGGCGGAGGCCTGAGCCAGAGACCGCTCAGCCTGCTCCCGCAAACAGGTGAGGGAGAGAGAAATATCAGTATTGTCCAAAAGTACAGCGAGATCTCAGAGGACAGCAGCTGCTTGTTATCACAGGATATTTCTGGCAGGTTGACGTCTCATCCGCGCTTTTGGGGCAGGGATGGCTGAGATGAGGGAAGGAACGAAGAGCAGTTAGCCAGGCTCTGCGAAATGCATTTTAAATTTCTTTAGACCCTGGTTGTTCGTAGATCAGGCTGACTTCATGACCAAATAGACTTTTGATTTCCTTAAAGGTATGAGCTAATACAAGAATCCCAACATCCCAGTGTAAATTTGCCTGTAGAGACACGGCTTATACTAGATTCACTGGGACGTGCTTTTGAATACCAAATTATGTCACTCTATCAGAGAAAAGATGTAAAAAAAATAATTCTTACAGTCACATTTACAGCTGAGCTCATTTATTTAAAGACCAAGTTCACTGAGAAACCATTTTTTACTTGTTCTTTTTTAAACATGATCGGTCACTCCGAGTTTCACATGCAGGCTGACATTGAAAACAGTTTTCTACCCCTATTACCTGCATTAGCCGCCAATATAAAATAGACGGGAACACATTAGCTTATCGGCTGGTAGAAGCTAACAGTTAGCATTAGCAACTCTACAACGTGGCTCAACTCCTTTGGGCTTGAGTTATTTGTGGAGATAAAACGCGACTGTTTCAAAGATAACAGAGTTAGTCGCAGAGTTTCGCTGCTGTTAGCCAATCAGAGGTGAAATGTGTGAATATCAGGAAACAAGACTGTAGATCCTGCCGTGTTCTACTACCCTCTTGTCTGACTCGCTTCTACTCCCTGAAACGGGAGTGCCCGAGCTTTTTCTCCACAGACATTGACTCACAGGCATTAATTTATGTTAGAGGCCATTGCAAATGTGTTGAAAAAAATCAAGTGAACTTGGTTTATAACTTTGCCCGAAATAAATAGCTGCACACCAAAGATTACCTCCTCAAGAGCTCATTAAAGCATAAAAATGTGTTGAGTTGGCAATCAACTGTGTTGCTTTGATTTATGAATTTGCATCATCTGGAAAAAAAAAACTTAAAATAACTCCGTATTTCAGCTTCTGCTTTTATTTGGAATCAGAAAACTCATTTATTTGTGTGTTGAGCAGAAAGAAGGGGCTGGTTTCATGAGGATTATAGGGATAAGAAAGGAATTAAGATGACGGGAAAGAACAGGAAGGGAAAGAGAAGCTGAAAGAAGAGGATAGGTCTTACTCCTGGGGAGGTCAGCAATTTTTGGGTCCGAACTGTGTGTGTGTGTGTTTGTGTGTGTGTGTTTAGTATGGGGATGTGAGTACTGATATTTGTCCTGCATGTCAGCGTGCAGGTATTATCACCATCTCTCTGGTTTAAGCATTCCCTAGGTTGCCATTAGGGCCTAATAACCATGTCAGTATGATTAATAGTGGGAGGCAGGGCTGTGATTGCACTCTCCCTCAACTACAGTACCTAGGCAACTACGTTACCCACGATACCCTCTGTCTACTCTGGCTACGAAGAGCAGCCGGCTGGTGTGGCTGGGTGTCAGGATTTTATTTGCGGTTAGCATCTCTTCATCCCCCTGTGGGCAACATAAAAGGATTGATCCAGTGATGATTGAAAGATTAGATGTTATCCCCGAGGGAACGTTGAGCATTCCAAGGAAATAAATGCTTTCAGCTCACTGATGGTTCATTTCACTGACTTTTCCTCTTCATTCAGTAATTTATTTATTTTGTCAAATGAACTTTTCCCTCTTTCTTTTGGTTGAAACTTTTACTAGATTATCAGATTATCAGTAAACACTTATTTAAACTACTCTTTTAAGTAGCGACTGATAGGCCAAATATAAATAACGTCTCGCTTAAGAAGTCCGACAATATGAACGCTAATACAAATATGCGATACAAAATTTATATTTGTAGAAAGAAATGTGGGTTTGGAGGTGGTGACTGCATGAAGAGGTGGAGGAGAATGAGTTTGTGTTAAAAAGTCTGAAATACAGAAACACAGTATAAACACACAAGCGTAAATACTGGGTGTTACTCATTGTTAAGGTGCCCGGCCTCACAAGGCGATGTCTTGCGAGGCCGGGCGCTTTGCTTACAAAGACACCATCCTTCCTTGGTCAAAGAAAACGGTTAAATGGAACAGACTTGCATCACGTGACCGTGGCTTCCATGGCAGTCACGTAATGTAACGTGATACGGGAGATAACGTTATAGTTTTACGTATAAAACTCAATACAAATCTATAACGAGACATTTACTTTTTAAATGGTGTAGATATTGTTAAATTAAATATATAAGCGAGTTACTACCTGCTAGCCACCGAAGCTGTAACTACTAAGCAACTAACCAACCATAGATAACTTCTTTGGATCTAAAAAAAAAAAAAACATTTTAAATTAGTTGACTTACTTTTAAACTTGAAATTTGCCCTCGAAGTAGCTGCCAGCTTCAGATCCGCCATCCTTTTGAAAATTCAGCGGTGTATTCTGGGTAATCTTTGACCAAGGCTAGGCTACAAGACATCTTCCGTGCATCCTTGCTCAGCTAGCTAAACAGCTAACAATTGGAGAACATACTCCTCGGTAGAACATGAACACTGGAACACGTCTTGGCGGCTCCTGATGACATATCTCCTAGGGAACCGGGGCGGGGACATCAAGGCAAGGTTCCTTGGCAATAAGAAACACCCCTCTGTCCTGGACCAGAGACATGACTGCAGAGCACGTCCAGAAAAAAGCTACGCCCTCTCTTGTCCTGGCAGGGAATTGCTTTGTAACGCTCCCCAGGCAACGGAAAAGTCTGAAAGGAAATCATCTCTGTCAAAGTTGAGTCCGACTCTGAACCTGAACTGATGAAGAAGTAGCCTATAACCCAGGCATAAAGACCATAATTCACATTCAAGAGCTTCATTTGCTTTGCTGTAAAACCACACCCAGAACCCTAGTTCACAAAACAAACGTTAAACAGAACAATTACAGTCAGGGTCCACTTTCACGGACTGTTCCTTAAATAACCTAGTCTGGCAAGCCATCCTATATATGTGAATATATATTCTAGCCATGCCCCATAAACAGAGGGGAATCTATAGTTATCTTTAAAACTGTCTCTGCATGCTATTGGACAATGCACAACATGACATACTTACTTCCACGGATGTCGGTCAACAGGGTAGTCTGCTGTACACTGTCGAAGAGAGGCAACAACATCCGTTTTCTAAATAAAGGAATTGCGTACCTCTATCTGCTCCTAACTCAAAGAAAAGCCCAAGTCCACAACATTCCAAAATTTCCGTCAAAGACGTTTCAAATGAGCCGCCGCCATTTTGTTCTGCTCCGTTGCATCATCCCACCCTCCAAATCAATAGAGCACTGTGACTGGCGTAACACAATACTGTTCAGAAAATGGTAGGCCTGCTGAGGCTCCAATGGAGCGTGTCTAGACAGACACGCAGAATAAAATCATTTTGGTAACTGTCTAGTTTCTAGGTTAGAAATAACCTGCGTTCATGTGTTTCTCCAACAGAACCAACATTCAGCTTTAATTTAAACATTTCTTTCTATGTTTATTCTCAATAACGTGCCCGGTTTAGAATACTCCAGTTAAAAGGATTACTTCTAGAAGCTAATAAATGCAAACTAGGCTGTAAGCCAGCAGCTTACTAGGTTGTGAGTGCTGTTTTTGAAAATGTCTCGAAATGTTTGCAAGAGTTCTCAATTTCCTCTTCAGAATCTCTGGGTATTGTCAGATTTAGTTTTACTATTCAGAGCAATTGTTGGTGTCTGGAGCCCACCTGGATCCTGTTGGGTTAGGGTTAGATAATACAACATGTCTCAATATTTCACTGTATAGACATCTTCTTACATCTCTGGAAGCAGAGAATCAAGCATGCATATGCACGTTCAAGCCGACAGCCAGGACTTCAGCATCAAAGCCCATCTCAGAACAGGAACCTGTATGAAACAGAGAGCATGTAGAAGAGCAGACAGGTCAAATACAGACAAATAGCCAGACAGAAATTCACATATTTTCACATATCAGCCTTAAACCTGTCAATTCTGGCAGCCTAACTATGTTCAAGGGCTTAAAAATCGGAGGACGGCAGACAGTCTCCAGCAGCTGGAACCTAGCATGACATATCTATCCAAGGTTAGATGTTTGAGGCGAAGCACGAGTTGAATCTTTATTTATTTATTTATTTACATTCCAGCTCACCCAGTCCTGTCATGCAGGTAGAAATACTCGGATATCTCTGAAATAAGCGTAACTATAGCAGATCCACAAGGTGATTTTTTTCATTAGCTCCAAACTCTGAGCTCTTTTGAAAAGCTCCGATCTCTGCAGTAAGCTGAATGCTCAATTGAGCTAGAATATGAAATGTGAATATTTTCCTTTTTATTTTCACCTGCAGGGTCTTTCATGATGGTGAATGCCTCACAGCATTTGGGGGGACAGCGAGCTCAGCTGCACCTGCTTCCCCTCAGTGAGAACGACACCCACTGCATCCAGTTCAGCTACTTCCTGTACAGCCGTGACGGCCACAGCCCCGGGGCCCTCCAGGTCTACGTTCGGGTTAATGGGGGTTCCAAGGGGAGTGCTGTGTGGAATATCTCTGGCTCCCAAGGGCGCCAGTGGCACCAGGTGGAGCTTGCAGTCAGCACTTTCTGGCCCAGTGAATACCAGGTTAGTCAAACTTGTGAGAACGCACCAGTGGAGAGTCTTACCAGTGTGTGTGTGTGTGTGTGTGTGTAGCCCTAATCTTTGGAAACCAAACTACTGTATATACATTTCCTAAAAAGGAAACTTGTAATTCTTTTTATTACATATATGTATATATATATATATATATATATATATATATATATATATATATATATATATATATATATATATATATATATATATATATATTGCAGCTGCTGATTGATCAGTGTACCGTCCTTCTGTAATTACATCAGTTTTTAATCAAACCTGTTTCTACAAATTCCTCATCACACAGAAACAGAGATTTATTTTTAAACACTGAAAAACAACAAATAAATGAAATCAAGCAAACAACTGACAAAAAAAAATCACCATTTAATTCAACGTTCCTAGACGGGGTTAGGGTTAAGGTTAGGCACGATGCCAGCGTGGTCCTGGACATCTTGACAGTCTGGGAGGATGTGAGGTTCCAGGCAGTCCCACATGCACGATACATAAAATCTTGTTGGATTCAGATTTACTTCAGTCTTTAACAGTTGAAGATACGAGCTCAAACTATCGTTTCCGAGCAGTAAAACATAACAGAGCTGCAGGTTTTCATCATGTGTACAAACATCTAATGTGTTTTGAAGAAGATCTCTAATTGTGCATAGCCCTTAATGTAATTCTGTCTGTGAGTTGGAACTTACGCCATCATCGCATCTTCCGCCACACGCAACACCCAGTGTTTCCCCTCTTTCCTGCCAGTGCATCCATGCACCTCCCTGCCAGTGGAACCTGCTGGTAATTATCCTGTTTTCAATTGCATCCAAGCAACCAGCTTCCATGCCAAATCACAGTGACCAGATATTTTACTGACATGAAAAATGCTTAATTTGAACACTCAGAAAAGTGTAAAATGCTCCAAGTATTTTAGTTTTTGTTCAAGTTAGCCAGAGATATATGCAAGAGGACACATATGTGAGAGTAAAACTGCAGTCAAGTAAAGAAGATGCATGCTGGCTTCAGTTCCAACCGCGTGTCTTTTCTTGTTCTTTTCTCGTGGTTACTTTCTTTCTTTTGTCAGCATTAGATGATGCTCAGCAAACTGCCAAGATGACATAGGGCATCAGTTATTTATCAGAAATGATGATGATACTTTAAAAAGTAAATGTAAAATTTTCTGCAGCTCGTGTTCTGATATTATGGGCAACTCCTGTGGGGCTACCATGAACTCACCCTTTAGGGTCGGTTATGGCTTACCCATATATTCCATATGGGACCCGCCTATGCACGACGCTTTTCCTAACACTTAACCTTGTAACCTTTTAGCACCTTCCCACATTCCTCTGGATTATCTATCAAAGCACCACACCACTTTGCTGCCTCATTAAGAAACCGAACCAAGCTGTGAGAATTAAAAGGACATGTTTCCAATTATTCAAACTACATGCAGGAATAAGCAAATAGCCGCTGTGTCATATATTACAGAGACTCAATAGCTGTATAATTACAGGGGTTTGGATTGTATCTTTATTTATTGGTCAATTTACCTGTGTGCTGCAGCGTAATCAATAGCTCCGTTTGATGCCTGTATCGGCCGTGCTGCATTATTAGCACCATTGTGCAGCTTGTAAGAGTCTCATGACTGCACACGGCCTTGCCTCACCTCATTACAGCTGATAATTTATCCCCTAATGTTCCCTTTCTTCTCACCAAGCCTGTCACCTCCCAACTCACCCCACCCCACCCAAAACGCCTCTGTTAACGAGGAGCAGTGGCTCCTGTAAGGGATTGTGGGAGCGTGGGTTCGCCAAAAAGTCAATTGACCTCAATTCCATGCAATCCTCAGCCCAGAGGGGTGGAGGTGAGCTGGGGCGGAGGGGTGTCCTGGTGTTTGCTTCCATAACCTTGGTGCACTCCGAGGCCCATCTCAATAAATCAAGAGGCAGTTAATGAGATTAGAGGTCTGTGCAGATCAATGAGGACAAGCTGCACTTCTCCATCCCAGCCCTCCCGTCCTCACAACTCTCACAAACAGCCAAACTGATTTTAAAGTGATGATTGTTTTCCCTTTTGGGTAGATGTTACAGGTTTTCCAGCTACACAGGTCTGGGGAAAGCATTCCTGAAGGAGGGAGCTGGTGTGTATAGTCAGGCTCAAAAGAGGAGTTTGCGTTCCACTGAGGTTTTTTGTGATCTGCTACACTTATGATGTATGTTCAAGCCGTATGAAGTTCCCCCAGCAGGCAGGTAGACACAAGATGGATTGCTTTCTTTGTCCTATAAACCTGAAAAACTGATGCAGGTGAACTACTCAGATGAGCCAAGAGATTCTAACTGGAACAAAGAAGATTTGCCTGCTGCATAGAGAGGAGCAACACATTCAGGGACTAAAGCCTAGTTCATACTTCTCCGCCTGCGAAAGGGCGGAGACACAACGCCATTTTCTGTGGTCGCATGCATGCAAGAACAGAGTAGAGCCCAATTTTCGAACTATCCATTGAAATGGTTGGAAACCACAAGCATGTGATTGGTCAGAAGGCTCCTTTCAAAAACACCACCACCCCCCTCAAAAAAGTTAAACGAGAGCCGAAGTTATCTAGACAAAGACATGGAGCAGATTGAAGAACATCTAGCGGAAAAGCAAGACAATATAAACGTTAATACAGTGATCCCTCGTTTATCGCGGTAGATGCGTTCCAGACCTGGCCGCGATAGGTGAAAATCTGCGAAGTAGGGACACCATATTTACAGTATTTATTTAACAGGTACGTATTCAGTATTCAGACTTTTAAAACCCTCCCTTTACATAGAAAACATTTTTACTTGTTTTTTTTTTATATTTTTATTACAAAAAGTGCATTTTATGATGAAATTGATGAAAAAAAAACAGGAATTTGAGCGCAGCTGATCCTCATCAGCCTGGTCAGCGGGACGGCTTTAAAAGGAGGACGGTTATCCAGATACGACGCTGGATGATTAACTACTGCCTGGTAGTCTCTAGCTCCTAGCTCATAGTAACTTTGAAACCTCGTCTTGTCTAGTAACTTTTGGAACTCGTTTTAATCTGAACTCGTTGTGTTTTGATACCTACCTTCAGACTCGCTTCTCCTCTGGATTCGCTCCCGTCTTGGAGACTTCTGGATACTCACCGGTTCGCTGCCGTTGCCGCTGCCGGGTTTACCCTCCGCTGGATCACCAGTGCGCCCTCAGTTCTCCCCATCATTAAAGAAATAAAATTATTGTTTATCTTTTACCTCGACTCGAGTCTGATTCTTTATGTCTTGGGTTAGACACTTACCCCAAAACATGACAGAAAAATACAGCGAATCGGAGAAAAATACGCAAATCGGCGAATTTCCCTTGAATAAGGCTCCAAAGAAAAAATCTGCGAAGTCATGAATCCGCGATAAACGAACCGCGAAGTAGCGAGGGATCACTGTACAACTGTGACTGTCTCATCCATCTTGGCACTTGACAACAGACTCTGTGTTGATTAAGCATCCTGGAGATCACAGTTTGGCTAGTAGAAGCTAACCATTAGCATTAGCATCTCCACAACATGGCAGAACACATTACAACTTGTTTTATTTGTTGAGATAAAACATCAACATTGCATTTTTTTTTACCAAAGAAAGAAGAGCGAACAGAAGCAGCAGAAGAGACGCGTTGCTGTTAACAAATCAGAATGATGATTCATGAGTAAGACTTCAAATCCCGCCACTTTAGACTACCGCGCCGACTAACTTTGTCTTAGTCAAATTGGAGCACCTGAGCTTTTAAATATTTTTTAGCTTTAGAAAAATAAATAAATACAAACAGCGGCCGAAATGAGTTTTCTCCGCAGAGTGGCTGGGCTCTCGCTTAGAGATAGGGTGAGAAGCTCAGTCATCCAGGAGGGGCTCGGAGTAGATTCGCTGCTCCTCCACACATCTGGTCAGGATGCCTCCTGGATGCCTCTCTGGTGAGGTTTTCTGGGCACGTCTTACTGGGAGGAGGCCTCATGGTAGACCCAGGACACGTAGGAGAGACTACGTCTCACGGCTGGCCAGGGAACGCCGTGGGATTACCCCGGAAGAGCTGGCCCAAGTGGCTGGGGAGAGGGAAGTCTGGGCCTCTCGACTTAGGCTACTGCCCCCACGACCCGACTCCGGATAAGCGGATGAAAATGGATGGATAGATGGATGGATTAGTTACCATACATCTTCAACAATGTGTGCAATAGAAAAAAAAGTAAAAGTTTGCATCATTATAACAAGTTTTAGGACACACTCCCAGCCCAAAAAATCTAAGCTAGATCTTTTGTAAATTGAAAGGTTAAAAGTTAAGAGAAGAACAAATTAAAGTAGGTGGGACTGTGAATCACAGTAAAATTTGCTGACTCATCAAACATAAAAATGGAGTTTCAAAAAGGTTTTATGCAAAGCAGCAATTTAAAGCAATAACCCCATTTTTTTCATTTCCAATGACCTCAAAAATTTGTGTGTATTTCCCCTCAAAAGGAACGAAGCGTTTGAGGATGCAGGAAGTGATGTAACACCATTTCACTCTGTGAATAGTTGTGCTTTCTTTTTCATTTGGTCCCACGGTGACTTCTGTTTCCCAACCAGCTCCTGCTGCTACAGCTTAGAGCTCAGCAAACACCCCACAGGGTCAGCTCAATGCGCTCATCCACCCAGTGCAGTGCTGCCGGCCAACGCCAGCCCCCGAGGGGCCAAAGAGCAACAGCTCTTCACAGGGAAAGGACAATCACTTCAAAGGGTCTGCTGGAGAAAATGTGTGTGAGTGTGTGTGTGTGTGAGTGAGAAAGAAACTGCTGGTGATCATAGTGGATGAGATTTAAAAATCCCCCAGTAATCGAGTGTCACAAGCCCCTCCAGAGGAGCAGACTGCAGCAGCGATATGATGGACTGTGATCAGAGGTGTTCTTGGCTTGTTGGGTTTTCACTGTTGGCAGAGTTTCAATCTTTGGCGACGTATCTGGCTTCTGTATGCCCA